ATTTTCTTTTTCTAAAACACTGGATCATTTTTCCAGCCCCACTACCTGTCTGAACATGGGAGAGACTAATAAAAGAAAATTATAACATAATCCTATCAGTTCTCACTATTTAAGAAAATTTGGGTCTGTGGTACCAATCAAGGAAAAAAGCACAAATGCTCTGCTCTATATTGCTATTTGTTTCTTATTTAAAACTTTTGACAGCATTAACCTTTTCTTTAGGTGAAGCTTCAAAAATCTGATCATTTGATGGATCAGGAATCGAATAAAAAAAGATACACAAGACTGACTATTTGGGAGAAAGGTTGAATTTTTTTTTTCTATTTTTCATGATCAAAATGTCTTAAAAATTTATATTTTTATTTTTTTTTCCCCCCCTGAATTATGATTCTAGTTTGTGCCAAAAAAGAAAATGTATACTTTAATGTTTTTTTTTTTTTTTTATATTTCCATAATTAAAGTTCTGAACTTTAGCTTTTGGTGGACACTAATGAAAAAGCTGTCCATCCAAAGCAGTGTATCATAAATCTTAAAATGGTAGGTCAAATGTATTATTGAATTAGTAGTTCTTTAACCTCAGTTGGTCTTGTAAAATTATTAATCTAATAAAACTCTCAGCCCAAGTGCTACAACATGTGTGTGTGTGTGTGTACATATATATATATATATATATATATATATATGTGTGTGTGTGTACATATATATGTATGTGTGTACATATATATATGTGTGTGTGTGTGTGTGTGTGTGTGTGTGTACATATATATATGTGTGTGTGTGTGTGTGTACATATATATGTGTGTGTGTATATATATATATATATATATATGTGTGTACATATATATATATATATATATATATATATATATATATGTGTGTGTGTGTGTGTATATATATATATATATATATATATATATATATATATAAGAGAGAGAGAGTGTCATTACTCAAGTTTCACTCTCTCATGATCTTCAGATAACTAGAGGGCCTTTAGTCTTCTGAAGATTGCAAGAGCATGAAACTCTAGCAATGACTCATGCTGTCCTTCATTAAGTGTTGCTGTTATGAAGCATTTTTTGCTCTGTCGAGATAAACTTGGTGTTGAGCACTTGACTTTGCTGAGTGGGTATTTGTTTGCCTTTTGGTCTGTATTTTCTTTTTTCTTTCCTTGTTTGGGATTTTTTTCTCGACTGTGCTCCAAACGTAATAATCAAGAGGGTTGCATCTGGGGAGTTAGGTGGCAAGATGTAAGGGGTGATGTGGCTGTTGAAATTGTCTGACAGCTATGACTGGGTTCTCCTGCTCGTGTGACATGGTGCAGAATCCTGTTGCCAGACATAGGATCTTCTGGCAGCCACCCTCTTGACCCAGGGAAGCACTACATCCTCAAGGCACTTGATGTAGGCCTCTGCGTTAAGGTCCTGTGCAAAGATGAATGGGGGTATAATGTCAATCACTAGTGATCACTCTAAACACCATGATGTTGAATGGCTATATCATCCAACTCTTTCTGAATCCTCTGCTGTGTCCTCAGATTGACACCCAAACACTTTGAAATTGGATCTTCTGGTGTGAATGCCAAGCAGTACTCTATACTGTTTCCAAATTTCTGGCAGAGTGATTTGCATCATGTTGCTCTTTTTCTCACAGATGGTACCCAAGTGACCCTACTATACTGTACTGTCGACAAAATCAAAAACAAGTAATGCACTTGTGCTGAATTAAAAATATAAAATGGTGACAATTTACCCATTGCACCCTGTGTGTGTGTATATATATGTGTATATATGGGATAATGATATATAAATTTTTAAATATCAAGAACAGTTTTGAAAGAAAAGGTATATGATGAATTGGAAGAAGTTTTTTGTGACACATTTCATCTGTTAGGACTCCATCAGGTTTGTTTGTTTATGTTATTGTTATGACATATCACCATTCTTGGCAGATCTTCTTTTATTGCAATGTGGGATATTTAATAACAAAGATGATGGAAACAAAAAGAAAAAGAATCTAGATGAAATTGTATGAAAAAAAAAAAATGTCTTTCTAAATTTAAAAGTTCCAGTATCTCTTGTTTGTGCGTATGTGTAGTCACAACAGCATAAACAAACCCAGGCTGATGAACTCCTAATGGATGAAATGTGTCACAAAACCTTTTTCCATTTTGTCATACATACAGGGTCTATCAAAAATACTTTCACAAACTTTTGTGGTGGGTTCCTCACAACAAAACAAGGACAAATGTTCATATAAACATATGTTTGCAAATCCTTTGTTTTTGAGTTATTAAGTTTAAAGAAAGTCTACTATGTAGACTAGGTTATATTTGTTATTTGTGTAAATTTGTGGCTAGTCTGTCTTTAACATGTTTAGTATTGAGTTAACTGAGAACTGTTCTGTTTAATAATGGCAGGAGCAGGTGGGTATGATTTTACATAAAGCCACACAAATGCTAATGGATGTGAGGCTGCATGGCTGTATGAGATTGGATTTTTAGACTGAAGGCAGCTGAGTCATCCAACCTTTGATGCTGTTTATCGTTGCATTGGTGAGACAGAATCTGTAACACCACAAACTATTCCCTTCAATAATGATAAAGAATTTGAGAAAATGTTAATCTGAAAAATTGCCTGATAATTTAGAATTTTCATCCAAGTTGGTTTATTATGTTACATTTAAAAAAATAGAAATAATTTTCTAATCTGATACCTTAGCTTCAGTCACTCTCCCACTGCCATGGTGTAGCTTCCCTGTGACTTTTTTTATAAATAATGTCACGGTAATTCTTCTGATGAATCTCCTTCTATGGTGGTTATGTTTATTCCCCTCCTACCAGACAAATTGTACATATCGGAACTAGTTAGGATTTCCTAGAGACTTTGGGGTACTGTGGAGGCTGTACTAAGAATGGTAAATAAGAATGTGTTGTTTTGGTGTAAGGAATACTGTGGTATGTTTGGTTCAGTACTTGTGGCTAGTTAAGTTTAAGATAAGACAGATTAAAGATAAGACAGATTAAAGATAAGACAGATTAAAGCCCAACCTTCTCTTATCCCCTTTTTTGGCCTTGTGCAACATTTTTGTATTTTTTAAAATAAATATCACTTTCCTCTATGGTACCAAGACTTTATAAATTTTATTGTTCTCTCTCCTTAATAGATTTTTTTTCTCATATTCTCCAACACTCAGCAACCCTTACGTCTTAGTTGCTTTATTGCCTTGCTTGGAGTGAAATGATTCAAAGAAAAATCTCTAAAAAATTAAAACAGAAACTGAAAAATAGTATTTGGTATAAATTGAGACAGTTTTGATTTCTTTTTGTCTATATTTTTATTTGATTAATCTCTTCATTTTTTTTTGTTCCTTTTTACTTTGTTTCTATCTATTTTTATGCACCCAGACTTTATTTCATCTACCAGTTCATTATTTCATCCAAAATCACCGTAGAACTGAAGATAGAACTCACAACATTAGTGAATGGCATGTGAAATGAACTGATAATTCTTTGGTCTAAAGTTCCTACAACTCTCAGTAAATCTTGTACATTTTCCTATTGGTTTTCCTCCCTCATTTGATTGAAATAAATGTAGCTTTTTCTTTTAAATTGACAAAACAAGTATCTTATTATTATCAAACTAGTTACTTAATGGTAGGTCTGATCAGTTTGATAAGGCCAAATTGGCAGTTGATCTTGAAAATTGCCTACAATCTGTTAACTTCAAAAACAAAACTGATCTCTTTTAATTGTCTAAGGGTATTGATAGATATGCTGCTAGAAAGGTGGTTCATTGTGTCATGCTAGACAAATTTTCTTGTCAAAATCTATATTAGACATTTCTTGTCTACCATTTGTCCATGCATTGAATATTGCTGTAGGCACTTCAACATAGTGTAATGATTAACAAGCTTATCTTGGTAGATCAGTTGTTTTTGTGTTTTTTTTTAAGCATTCAACCCCAAGCAAGGCGGGAAGCCACTAGCATGCAAGGAGTTACAGAGAGTTGGAGCGAGAGCAAAGAGGAGTGATAGAGGAAAGGATGAAGAGAAGGTTAGGGGATAGATCAAGGCATCTTGAGACGTCAATTGACATTACATTTGAATAGTTGGAGATTATAGCTATCAGGGAAACAAGAACTGGGGAGGGAGTTCCACAGGTGAGAAGTGCAAGACATGAAGCTATTGGAATAGAAGAGACGGCTACATTTAACAGTTTTGACAGTGAAGGGGTGAGAGCGAGATGCCAGCCTAGTTAAATGCTTAAATTCATGAAGTCTGTGAACCAGCGAAAGCAGCTCATCGGAGCAGTTACCGTGAAAGTATTTGTAAAAAAGACAGGGAGGCAACGGCATGTCTATGAGAGAGCGGCTGCAGATGAGATGCCAGATCAGGGCCAATTATATTGCATATCCGTCTCTGGATTTTATCAAGGACATTGAGACAATTAGAAGGGGTTCCAGACCATATATGGCAGCAATACTCTATGCAAGAGTGAACGGTTGATTTGTAGATTTAAATGATTGACTCTGGCAAGAAAAATTTCTTGGCGCGGCACAAGGTGCCGACTTTTCTAGCGGTGGACAAATGACAGAATAGTGAGTTCAATCCTTACCAGGTGCCATATTGCTGCCATGGTGCTTCTGCTATGTATTTAGAGATTCTTGATTAAATATAAAGAATCTGCAATACTATTGGCCCTGACCTGGCATCTAGGCTTCAGTTGCTTTCTCATTGCTGTAATGTAGCTTCCCCATGCCTTTACTATAAAAATTTTCATTGTAATTGTTCTGATGAACTTTTCTTTTTGGTACCTAGACTTTTTGAATTTAAGCATACTACTAGATTGTCTGCATAGAGGTCTCATCAATTTACATTTAAAATGGCTAGATGTAACCATAAATTCTGTGCTAACAGTTTCTTCTCTTATACCTCTCGCTTGTGGATCTCACTTCTGGCTCCTTGCTTTCCAGTCAAGTTTAATCTTCAAGTATTTAAATGCAATGCCAATCATTATCTTCTGTCTTCTTAATTCTCTCTTGTCTTTCATTCACTTGTCCCTCTCTCTTGCTTGCCTTTCGTTCTCTCACCCCTCTCTCTTGCTTGCCTTTCGTTCTCTCACCCCTCTCTCTTGCTTGCCTTTCGTTCTCTCACCCCTCTCTCTTGCTTGCCTTTGGTTCTCTCACCCCTCTCTCTTGCTTGCCTTTGGTTCTCTCACCCCTCTCTCTTGCTTGCCTTTGGTTCTCTCACCCCTCTCTCTCTTGCTTGCCTTTGGTTCTCTCACCCCCCTCTCTCTTGCTTGCCTTTGGTTCTCTCACCCCTCTCTCTTGCTTGCCTTTGGTTCTCTCACCCTCTCTCTTTTGCCTTTGGTTCTCTCACCCCTCTCTCTTGCTTGCCTTTCGTTCTCTCACCCCTCTCTTTGCTTGCCTTTGGTTCTCTCACCCCCCTCTCTCTCTCTTCCCCCCTTGCCCTTTCGTTCTCTCACCCCCCTCTCTCTTGCTTGCCTTTCGTTCTTTCACCCCCCTCTCTCTTGCTTGCCTTTCGTTCTCTTGATTGTTTCTCTCTCTCTCTCTAGCTCATCCCTCTCTCTTCTGTCTCTTTCTCAGTCTTTTTTTTTAAATCAATGAAAATACTACCATGAGCTTACTAATTATTACATAAATTTATATTATTTGAAAATTCTAAGTAGCTAATATTTATTTGTGCTGTATTTAAAAGCATCTATATTCAGAGAACTTAAAATGATTACTTGGTTACTTATTTTAGTGCATCATATTATATTCAATTACGATGTGATGTAAACAATAGTGAATTATTTAAACAAATTAACTGTAAATAAGCAACAGTACCTTTTTATGCACATCTGTCTCTTATATTATTGCTAAGACATTTTTACATTTATATAAGTAGTAAAGTAATCAAAATAAGTGCTGCGTAATTTGTTGTGCATTTAAAATAATCATTATAATAAAATGTTTCTATAACCAAAGCAATTTTTGTAAATAAACTTTTTATAAAAAATGACTAACTTGTTTTTGTCTTAATTTGTACGTTATTACAAAATAAATAATGTTCTGAAATCTCCATGTGAACACACACACACACACACATTCATGTGACTGAAGGCGTTATCTCTTTAAAGTAGTCTTGGCATTATGCCAGGATATTGTACAATGACCTTGGTGCTGTATTAGACTATAGTTCATGAATGTTCAGCTCCTCCTGAAGGTGTCAATGAGTGAGTGGGAATAAATTGTTCACATCTAATACACTGTTTGTAAGTGCTTTGGTTAGCCCCCAGCCCACATCAGTGTAAGCTGTCACCATTGGCTAGAATATACACACCAACTCCCACTGCTGTACCCAAATTATATGGTGTATGTTTAAATCACTTTACAAGTTTTGCAACCACTCTCAGTAGATACCTTAGTTGTGCTAGACTCAATGAGGAAGTATCCTTCACTTTGTATTAAAAAAAAAAAAAATTGCTTGAGGGTGGGGCAAGCAACTCAACCCCATAAGAAATTATTTACTACTGAAACTGCAACAATATCAATGTACTTTCTTTTCTATGCTCCACAAAGTCTGCAAAGCTGTTATCTGTAAACTGTATGTTCATTTTAATGTTAATATATTTGAAAACTGACGATAATGTTATATCACTGCTAACAGGGATCTGTAGAGGTCACATAAATGTACATTATTATAAGTTTTTTATATGTCTGCTTCTTTATTTTCTTTTAAGCAGCTGTTTATAGATATAATAATAAAATTGATTATGGGTTTTATTAGATGCGATTGAGTTTTTGTTTTAAACCCTGAGGAAATATTCCCAACAAGACAGGAAAAAGAATAGCCATGATCACCTGCATCTTGAAGTCACATGGCATAAAGAAATAAAAAGTATTATTCTTAATTTTCATATCGTTTTCTACTCACAGGACATATTGAAGGTAAGAAGAACAGAAGAAAATAGTGCATAACAGAAAGACAAAATTTATTAAGAGCAACAGAGGATAGGAGTTGTGGAGAGCCATGACTGCCAATGTCCTCAAGAGACACAGCACTAGAAGAAGAATGAGCTTGTGTAAATGGCTGGCAGAACAGGGTTTAGGAGAGATAACAGAAAGATATAATTTATTAAGAGCTACAAAGGCCAGGAAATTGTGGAGAGCAATGATTGCCAAGAAGAAGAATGCCCACCATCCCCAAAATTGGACAGTGGACATAAATTGGTTATAGATAAAAACCAATGATTAATATTGGATATTTATAAACCTATAATTAAGGTTCACACTCCTCTTTTGGCTTTTGAACAGGAGGAGAGTTTTATCCCTTATTTCCTGTTAGGATTCTGTTTCCAGTTTCAATGGGTTAAGAATATGAATATAATCTTAGACTTTGCTATGACTCTAAATAGTTCATAATATATGTATTAATAAATCATAATGTGTAGACATTATAAAATTATCTCTCTCTGTGTCTAATATATAATATAACAATACAGATTGTTTTCAGCGTACAAAACACACCAAGCAGTAAATTACCGGAACTTAACATATTTAAAGACCAGCAGATTTTTTGTAAGCAAAATGCTCAATTTTTAAAAATAGAGCAATAATAGTCAATAGATATATAATGGTTGAAAAGACTTATCTTCTGGCTTCAAGTTCTGGTTAAGTTCTCTCTCTCTCTCTCTCTCTCTCTCTCTCTCTCTCTATATATATATATATATATATATATATATATATATATCTATATAATTAATACAAGTAAAAGGTTTGTCACTTAGCTGATTGATGTTACCTTCAGCATCACGACTCCAAACTTTTGTAGACGGACTCTCTGGAAGTCGCTCCATCCCCTTTTCAAGGGATATCAGCAATTTTTCTTTTATATATAAATAATATATACTTTTATATGTACTTTTCATTGGTGCAAGTTATTTTGTTTGTTTTTTTTTTTTTTTTTTTTTTATAGCATGCGCACACCCATGTGCCTGTGTAGAATGTTGTTCTTTTTGTTTTTTTTTGGTTTTTTACACTTTACACTCACTCCTTTTAACCTTTTCTCTTTTTTACTCTTTTCTTTCTTTCAATTGTAGCCATTTTGACTGCTGGTTTTCTAATACACCTGTTGTGTAATATATATATATATATATATATATATATATATATATATATATATATATATATAGTGGTACTCACTTGGAAAAACCTTGGGTATTTCTGACATAGTTGAACAAACCAATACCCAAGGAAAAATGAGGAATAAAAAAAGAAAGAACTAAGAACATGAAATTGAGGCGAAAACAATCGTCCAGAATTCAAGCTCAGAATCCAAAGAAAAAAACCTCCAAAACAAGTAAAAGTAACTACGTAAAGTGCTCAATACATGAAGTAGAGCAAGCCTTATATATATATATATATATATATATATATATATATATATATATATATATATATTAATGAATTCAATAGCTTTATCTTACCTTGATGAGTTGTGTATCTGCAAAAGATAAGTCTTTTGAACTTTTATACACACATATATCAATATTTATTTGCTTATCTGTGTATGCACACTATTGTGTGCATATACATTGCTAATATATCATTATTTAGTTTATATTTACAATTCTCTCTCTCTCTCTCTTTCTATCTCTCTCTCTCTCTCTCTATATATATATATATATATATATATATATATATATATATATATATATTTGGTTATAGACCAACAAAAATTCTTTAAGGACTTTTCCACTTTTTTTTTTTTTTTCCTGGTTTCCAGTGAAAATTTGTAATATAAATTGTTCTGATATCTGAGTACTTTTGACTTGCATATTCTATTATCAAAGAATGAATTCTGAAAGCCATAATTACTCACATTTAGTACGTTGCATTCTGGGTTTTAGCTGTAAAGGTCTGAACTGGTGGAACTATATTTTTGATCGTTTACCAGGTTTCTGTTGAATTTTGGAATATAAATTATCTGATGTCAGATAAGCCATTACCACAGGCTTTTGTTGATAATATTGTGACTATATGTAAGTATTATGTTGTTATAGTGAAGAAAATGGCAAATTACCTCGTCAAACCAAGTGACAATGTGTCGCATGTATCCTACGACGGAAAAGAAAATTACTTACCAAAAAAAAAGCACATATTTCACATGACATGCTGAAGATGGAATATTTAGATTAAAAACAAGTCCGTTGCAGGAGTCTGTATAAAAGTATTTTGATATGTAAAAATTTGGCGTCCTTTCCCAGTTGTTGCCGAATGAAAAAATGCTCGGCCGATAAAAGCAGTTGGTGTACTTGAATCAGGAGGAGAAATTGATGTATTTTGACTACCGTGTTCGTTGGAGAGTGAGTTATTTTTCTGACTGGTTACGTGCATTGGGATTTGTGAGATAGTACCTGCGAATCGAGTTTTCGGCATTTCTTTCTGCCCCTGATATTCGAGTCTGAACTTACAGTGATTTGTTCTCTGCATTGTGGAATTAATTTGTGACAAACATTTCCTTTGCTTTCAGTTGTTTGTGTTATATCAGTTTAATCTTTTTCCAGATGTCTTAATTATGTCATTTTTATTTTTATTTTTTTATTTTTTTTTTAAAGTATTGCATCTTAATGTATCAGTTTGTATTGTTGAGTCAATTTTTTTTAAATCATGAAACATACTTAGTATGTTTCTAAATATGATAAAATTTTATTGATATTTGGTTGATTTTATGGTTAATGCTTCTAATATTTGCAATCATTTTTTTTTTTTTTAAATGTTCAAAAATTTCCTTGGCTTAAATTAGTTTTGTGCAAGACTATAATAGTGAAACATTCTGTAAGGATTGAAACAAATATAATTAAATAGGTTCAAATATCGCCCGGTTCACATTCCTCCTTAGTCCTTTAAACAGGAGGAGAGATTTATCTCTTGTTTCCTGTTTAGGAATGGTTTTGCAGTTCTTGCTAAAGTCTACTTCAGCTCTATACTCTTAACGCTTGTCCTTTCCCACAGTAATATAACTCAATAGTGTAAACCTACCTTGAATGGCTCCTGGGCCTTGTGTAAAAAAAACAAAAAAAAATTTCAATGACTTACAAGATTAGCTTGCCAATCATTGCTCCAAGAAAATATCTGGCAGATTGTCTTTATATAAACTGCTCACATGTTTGTGTGCGTGGCTATTCCTGAAAAAACCATTCATTAAAATCTCTAGACTGTTGTTTCTTTTCTTTTGGTTTGCTGCTTTTATTTTACTTTTTTTTTCTTTTTTTTTTTGGCATCTGGCCACTTATTCTTGGGTCAGTGGAATCCTTCCTTCAAAATTAATTTTTTTTTTGTTTTCTGTTTTTAACATGCTACATTCTTTACGCAATAGTTGACCTCAAAGTTTTCTATACATCATTATGAATTAGCACTTTCCTTTTGCATTTACCTGTCAAATAATTTGACAGCTTTCTTTTCAATGCATTCAGTATGCGTTTATATGTGCATACAGTTGTTGAACATTCTGCATTTAAAACATGTTTTATATGCATTTATCTGTTCATGGCTGTGTGTTTGTGATGGTAAACATTATTTTCATCTTTGTATCTATATATAAAATTCTGTGATTTCTGTTA